TGGGATATTTCGTCACCCGCCACTTGCTGGGGGGGGGGGGTAAACGTCCCCAGTCGACAACTCGAGAACCAATAGCCGCAGCGACAAGGGCGAGGCGGCAAACGAAAACTCGTGACAAGACGCTTCCGTTGATGTGAACTTTGACCTCTAGCGCCTAAACGGTTGACCTGAGGTCAAATCTGACGACTTACTTCAGATAGCCCAATTCATTGCGCATCTTACCTTTTTTGCAGATCAAAGCTATCTGTCTTAGTTTGGGCGCGAGACCGGCTAAAGCAAAGCGCTGCACGTTTGACCAAAAAGTGCGAAAATTTTGCATTGATGACGTCATTTGACCTTGAAGATGTTGACCTAGGATCACCAAATTTGCACCACAAAGAGTTCTTATGCGGGCCTACCCACCCCCCAAGTTTCGTGTTTCTAGCATTTCTGGGAGCCGAGATAGCAGGGGGGCAGAATATGCCCCCCCTCGAGGGCGCGTAATTCTCAGACCCTCTCCAGGGGACGTGTTAATGACCTCTGGTGACCTGACCTCTGACCTGAACAAAAAAGTGACCGAAGTGATTTCTTCCTTATTTTTGACGCTCTTCGAACGCCGCCTTTCCGGTATCGCTACGTGGCCCAGGAGCCGAGTTAGAAGGGGGGGGGGGGTGTTCAAACACTCCCCCAGCAGGGCGTGGAAATCCAGGACCCCCAGCGGGGCGCGGGTTAAAGATCGTGTTGCATATCAGCCGATCTGTATATCGTCTAGCCGAACAAAACTAAGGTGTTTTAAACTTTACTCTATCATGCCTCTCCCAAAAGTTATTTACGAAAAAGTTAGATACAATTCCCCACCAAAGATGACCTCAGCTGCTAAAAGAGGTGTCACACGTGCCATTTTTCGGTTCTGTTGTGTGTCGTGCTAACTTAGGTATAATTTGGTGTTTGAAATTATTGAGAATGACGTTCGTTCAAAAGAGACACCTTTTAATTTTCTTCCATTGACCTACAAGAGAGGATGCAAAATTGACCTGTCCTTAGGTCATCTGGTCACCGATTTTTGCCGCTTTTTTTGTAAAAAAAAAGCGGCGTGAAGCTCACCGTTTTCGTTTGTTTGTTTGTTTCTTATTGATATTCAGGGGAAAATAGGGTGCGGGTTAAAAATGGTAAAGTCGGTATATCACATCCAATTGCCGCTTCCTACCCCCCCCCCCCCGCTCAACCAGCTATGGCTAGACTCCTGCAATCTGCACCTATGCGCCCACAATGTTCTAGCCGTTTCTACGCCCATGACAGACGCTGCAGTTATTGAAAATCGAAGGTGGAGTGCGCACGTGCGCGCGCGCGGCACAATCTCCCTTCTCACTCTTGTGGAGGGTTAGGCCTATGAGTACCTAGTAGCATGCCAAATTTCAACACTATCGGCGCAGACGTTCCAAGGCTGTAGCATTGTATTTTTTTCGACACCCCTCACTCTGCACGTGCCACGTGCTAAATTTGGTACCCACATGGTTCGGGGTATGCTCCATTCGTGGCAAAGGGATGTAGCTCCCCATCAATGAAAGCCACTTGTCAATCAGACATGTGGTTGCAAAGTTATAAGCTGTCAATTAGCGTCGTTTGGCCGGGTCGGGCTGCTAATACTTACATTTTTCCACTAAACCACAAAGGACTCGCTCGCACTTCGCGCTCGCTCGTAATTATCATTCTTTGTATATTATATAATATTTATCAATATTTTTTAAATTCATAAAGTCAATTTGTTATTGTAATCTTGCATACATCTCTATCTTTCGCAGGTAGACCGTTCGTCGTTTCTGCAAAGATGTCTCAAAAAGAACAGTTCTATAAACTGGTTCACGAAACCAAAATATCTTCAAACTCTGCTTTGATTACCGATGAAAAGTACGAGATTATAAAGGAAGAACTGCAGGGAATCAGCAAAGGCGCAAAACCGTCGGGCACCGCGAAACGCTATCGCATCTGGCAGAAGTACAGGCTAGTCAAGTTCGGATCAATTGAAAAGGTTGTAGATAAGAAAAGTGCAAAAGAAATCGTGCGGGAATCAGATTTGTTTGATGTGATTAATGAACTCCATTCTTTGGCTGGGCATTGCGGAAGAGACAAGACGCTTATGGAAGTTCAAAAGCACTATGCAAGCGTCAGCAGAAAAGTCGTCTGGGCATTCCTCTCAACTTGCCAAACGTGCGAGCAGAAAAAGCCTAGGCCTGGCCAGAAGGTAGTGACTAAGCCTATTCTCAGCAACGACATGAACTCCAGAGCCCAGGTTGATCTAATAGACTGGACGAGTGAAAGCTCAAAGGGATTCAGATACATTTTAACATATCAAGACCACCTAACCAAGTTTGTCGTTTTGCGGCCCTTAAAATCAAAAAGGGCGGAAGAGGTGGTATTTCATCTCATCGACATATTCTGCCTGTTTGGGGCTCCAAACATCTTGCAGGTAAAGTAGCTTTGTCATATTGTATTTTTTTACCGATATATAGGTGAAAGCAATCATGAACGTTCTCTGTTTTTATTTTTTCTCTGTTTTTAAGTGCAAAAACAGTTTATCTCACCCTCATTGAATGTTAAGGGAATTTCATCATTAAGACCCTACATTTTGTCTATGGTCTGCATCTGTACTATACTATCATGTATTACCGGTTGTTTTAATATATTCCATCTCATCAGCAGCAGCAGCCAGCAAGCGCTTATTCGTAAAATATGTACGGCTCTCCAAGATATTAGGGTGGGGTTGGCCGCTTCAGTCTTTAGAAAATTACTTGGATATGAGCGAACATGCACTGGTCGTTCTTTTGCGCATTATAGCAGATGCTGGAGTTGATATAACTGACTTGATTAGAAGAAAACCAGAGACATACATAGTTTCAGATTAACCCTCGCACTTGTAGGGGGGTCGGATGACCCCCCCCCCCCCATGGTTTTTCGCGAATAACTCGCGTAAAACGCGGCGGATCGCCGCGAAACTTACAGTACCCTCGCGTTGATCAATCTGACACGTACTGTGGAAATTTCAAGTCGATGTCATGTCAGGTCATCAAGTCATGACGTCATATGTCAGGTCATGTTTGGACGAAATCGGCAGGTTTTGCGATCTGTCGCACGATGGTGCGCGTTCTTGCTTCCCAGCGCATGAGTATGCATTCTATGAGAGTTTATTGGTGTTTATGGATGTCTAGACATCGCATACAGTTGACTCAAGGTCAAGGTCACGCAAGGTCACGCTTGTTAGGAGCATCTTCTAGGTCAATTTAGTCGCTTCAATTAGCTGTTTTTTTTTGCGAGTTTGAGCGTCAGGATGATTGCTTAGAGGTGAATGGATGTCAGATTCGAGCTCAGCGCCTATGAATACACTATAGTTGACCCGCCATGTGTCAAGGTCATCCGTGGTCATCCGAGGTCATCTGAGGTCACTGACCTAGGATTACCTTTGATGACCTTTTCACCTAAGGTCAAGATTAGGGTAATTTGAACTGTTCTAAGTCACTTTTACAATGATTCGCTCGTGATTCATGAAGGTAACTGCACAACCACTGTGTGAAACATCGCAATAAAAACATGAAAGTAGTTCAGATAAAGGCTAAGATTGCGTTAAAAATTCGTTAAAACAGAAAACCTAAATGTGTTTCAGAGCGACAACGGACGCGAGTTTCGCAACAAAGTAATAAAGCAGTGCACAGCCATGTGGCCATCGCTCCAGCTCGTTCGTGGACGACCTCGCCATTCGCAGTCCCAGGTGAGCGATTGATAGGTATAAGCCAGATTGGCTATTCACCAATATACGAATTTAGATTTGGTATAGAATTAGCTTGTTGTTCCTACATGGATTTTTGAAGTCTTTAAAATAGATATTCATATTGAATTGATCGTGTGCATGTTTGTGCTGGGGTTTATGGACGGACGCTAAAGCGCAAATAGGCTATCAAGCGCCCTTATTTGATTGCTCAAAAAGTGACTATTCAATATCAATGCCTGCGCAAATAAATAGAAGTGGAAAGAACATGAATAAATAAATCGAGAGTTAAAAGAGGTCAATGCAAACTGTACCATGTAATATTCGCCGCCATGTGCATGCTTGACTTTCTCATGTACGGATATAGTAATATTTATTTCCGCCCGGGGCTGGGAAAATGCATTTTATTTACCAAGGTTTTTTTGCGGAAGTACCGAGTGCCGGCAGGCACGAGGTCTGTAGCAAAAAATTCGAGGTGAATAAATTAAGCATTTTCCCAGCCCAAAGGGTGGGAAGATAGTTACTACATGCCGTTAATTGCTACTTTCATCTTGAATATTCTCTTAAAAATTGTCTGGGAAAATCAAAATGACCGTGGTCAAGAACCTTTTCCCAAATACCTTAAACATTAGCCGTGAGCGGTCCGGAAGCTTTTCCCAAAATCACGTGCTAATGTTAAAGGGATATCTCGGCATGTGGTAAATTGACACATTTAATGTTTCCAGGGATCTGTCGAAAGGGCGAATCGGCTGGTTCAGGAAAAGCTTCGGTGCTGGCTTGCCGATAACCCGAAAAGTAATTGGCCCGAGGGACTACGCTTTGTTCAGTGGATGATAAACACGCAGGTATATAGCCTTCATCTGTATTAGTTACAAAAAATATCATTTGAAATTTTCCTCATTCGTTTAAAACATATGTTTTGAAGAAAAAAAAATATTTCCAATCATTAGCTGTAATTTAAGTCAAAGCGGGAGAAGTGTAAAGTATTAGCTGGTTACGCTTAACTGCACAGTCTCGTATTTTTGTGTGAGCATTCTGTTGTTAATATCTTGAATATGTTCTGACTGTTTCAGAAGAACGACGGGATTGGAACTGCTCCCTACAAAGCGATGTTCGGTGTTGAGCCCCACATGGGCCTGAGGGACACGCAGCTCAGAGGAGCGCCCGCCAGACTGTTGAGGACTGAGCAGGAGCTGGCGGATATGCTGGGACTGGTGGCTGATGGAAGTCGCCAGACGGCCACAGATGCAGGACTGGACAGTCAATCGGGCAGCAGCAGCAGCAGCGACTGGCAGCCGGCTGGCCGCGCCCATGCAGGGAGGAGAAGGAGCGGTCGTGCTGTAGTATGCAGCAGCAGCAGCAGCAGCAGCAGCAGCGACGAGGAGCCAGCTAGCTGCACTCCAGGGAGGAGCGGTCCCACAGTGGCGGTAGCCGGCAGCAGCAGCAGCGACGAGGAGCCAGCTAGCTGCACTCCAGGGAGGAGCGGTCCCACAGTGGCGGTAGCCGGCAGCAGCAGCAGCGACGAGGAGCCAGCTAGCTGCACTCCAGGGAGGAGCGGTCCCACAGTGGCGGTAGCCGGCAGCAGCAGCAGCGACGAGGAGCCAGCTAGCTGCACTCCAGGGAGGAGCGGTCCCACAGTGGCGGTAGCCGGCAGCAGCAGCAGCGACGAGGAGCCAGCTAGCTGCACTCCAGGGAGGAGCGGTCCCACAGTGGCGGTAGCCGGCAGCAGCAGCAGCGACGAGGAGCCAGCTAGCTGCACTCCAGGGAGGAGCGGTCCCACAGTGGCGGTAGCCGGCAGCAGCAGCAGCGACGAGGAGCCAGCTAGCTGCACTCCAGGGAGGAGCGGTCCCACAGTGGCGGTAGCCGGCAGCAACAAGGGCATGCAGCAGTCACCGGTAGCTGCACAGCCTGTTAAGCGAACACTAAGAAGCAGGCGCTGCACTCACTGTTATGGGCCGGCACCTGCATCTGACGGCTTTTGCGATCTGTGTTCTCGTGCTAAGAGGGCACTTGAAGAGCGGGAGATCGCCTCGGCATCTCAGAAAAAACAGGCGAATCTCATGCTGGCTCGGACGAGGAAGGCGAAGAAGATTCTATCTGTGGGTCAAAATGTACGCATTGGCATTCCCGACGTGGACAGGGCGAGGACGCAACAGAAAAATGTTATCGGAGTGATATTGGAGGTGAGTCTGGAGTAATTTTCTTTTTGCAGCTGCTTGTACTATTGGTTGCTCTTTCTCGCCACGCTTTCTATTGCTATATTTTCAATTTTTTATTTCGATAACTTTTTACTGTGAATTAAGTATATAATATGATTTTCAATCAATATGAATATTGTTCTCAATGTTGAAACGATTTAATATCTGTAAAAATAGTTGCTTAGTTATTTTTCATCATGATTTCAAGTGTATAAGGCGCTGAAAGGACATTGTCGGTTCAATTAGATTTGATGTCAACAACAAAACGTTTTTAACACAGATCGAAACTGTAGGTGTCTGGCACTGGTCGCAATAATTATAAATCATATCAATATTATCTGCAGTAAATTAATTGCTGATGCTGTAAAAACTTTGTATCGCTCGTTGACATAGATGACCGTGTTCGCAGTGTGTCGGCGAGTCACAGTATATAATTGGCACGACGAAGGGGAAGCTGTCCGGCGTCTACGGCCCAGAAGCAGTACAACCGTGTGCCGGGCACTTCATCTCCTCCTCCGACGTCCCCGACATCTCGATCACACTTAGAGAATGTGCTCGCCTGGTCTCAGGGGGGAAGGGTCAGGGGATGTTTTCCTGCAAGTGCAGGAGGGGTGTATGTAAAGGCCGATGCAAGTGCATCAAGGCGGGCGTTACTTGTATCAGTCGCTGCCATAAAGGCGCTCACTGCAATAATAAATAGTAAGAAAGTCAGACTGTTGTTTGTGATTTGGCATGGTTTTGTTTTTGACGGAAATTATCGAATAGTTTAAAGACCACGTGCTACGGAACTTGATAACTGCGTACACAACCTCTCTTAACCTAAACACTTTCGCGTTATACAGATACCTCATATGATTAAACTTTTGATCCAATAAAATTCAAATGAGTCATAAAAATGTATCTTCGATCGCATTTATTTGCCACCCCGCGCGCCCCACAAAGGACAATCATTTTCGCACGTCTGCACACCTATTTAAATTAGGATACAAGAGGGACGATGGTAAGTACTACACACCAGCCCCCTCCCACTATAAATGGCAACGAGTTCGGAAGGAGAACCTTAGTACTATCAGATTTATTTGAAAATTCCCTAAAATTACAGAACAGCAAGTTTCTGGCCGCCTCAGATAGACTTAGCCATAAGCAAATGTCCTAATGTTAATGAATATACTCATTTTAGCACGGTAGAAAACTTTTGTGATATAGTTACTCACTTTGCCTGGGCAATTCGCGAAATGCCCAATTACGCACTTTGCCTGTGAGCACAAAGTCAGTCCATTCGCGAATTGCCTAGGCCAAGTGAAAAACCGGACTTTGCCTAGGCCATTCGCGAATTGCCGGCAGTTCGCGAATGGCCTAGGCAATTCGCGAATTGCCCAACTTCGCACTTTGCCCGTAACATATATATATATATATATATATATATATATATATATATGTAAATTTGGGCAGCAGGTTCTCATTGATGCATGTTTGTGTAAAAATGACAGCATAACGGGCGTTTGTTTGCTTTTTTGCCAAGTTCTCTAAACTTCGTACGATCTTCTTGCCATCTGTTTCAAATTCATGTAAAATTGTGCTTATATTGCCGGGTAACGTTTCGTTAATATCACCATTAACATCTTCAGACATACAAAACAGACACAATATCACCAAATATAACATTCGTCTCGTCTCGAAAATCGCAAGGAATGAGTTTCCTATAGACACGGATCTAATTCAATTTGATGTAGCACTTTAAAGTACAAACGCACATGATCATTGCAATGGCACCTCTCGCGATTACATATTATATTGGCCACACCACTACGACCTTGTCACGACGCGTCACTATGCACCTTCAAAATGGTGCCCCCGAAAAACACGTCCGATTAGAACACGGCAGCAAACTCACTCGCAGCATGATGGTTAACAATACCAGCATCATAGCTAGATGTCCCAAAAAACATAAGCTTGCGATTCTTGAAGCCGTCTTCATCAGGGATAGAGACCCAGCTATCAACCGGCAAATGAACATGACGGGTACTCTGTCCTTATACGACGGAAGACCCTTGGCGCCCAGATAGATAGCACTTAGGTTTTAGACTTGTGTGCTAGTTGATTATGTGTAGGCCGAATGCATGCGAAACTGTCATTGAAACATGTGTGGCTTGTCTGATGATTGTAACTGAATGTAACTGAACCGATGATTGTAACTGAATGTTTGTGTTATACGAAATGTGTGTCGGTGTTATATAATACTGAACGAGGCCGGTGTAAATAAATTTTCAAGACCGAGGTCCTTACTGAATTTTTGAACGAGGCCGAAGGCCGAGTTCAAAAATCAGTAAGGACTGAGGTCTTGAAAATTTATCACCGGCCGAGTTTGGTATGTATTTTACTGTATGCCAACGATAAAATAATTGTCTAGACCGAAGCTCTTAGCTGTTTTTTGAACGAGGACATCCCAAAATGTTGACTTGGTAATTCGTTTTTGACCGTGGTCACTTTGCTTACACCAGTTATTACCACACCCCTCAGGCTAATGTATTTGAATAGGCCAGGCATACAGTAAATAATGAATATGTACGTAGAGTGTCCATATATTTGCGCTGAAAATGTAATCGCGAGAGGTGCCATTGCAATGATCATGTGCGTTTGTACTTTAAAGTGCTACATCAAATTGAATTAGATCCGTGTCTATAGGAAACTCATTCCTTGCGATTTTCGAGACGAGACGAATGTTATATTTGGTGATATTGTGTCTGTTTTGTATGTCTGAAGATGTTAATGGTGATATTAACGAAACGTTACCCGGCAATATAGGCACAATTTTACATGAATTTGAAACAGATGGCAAGAAGATCGTACGATGTTTAGAGAACTTGGCAAAAAAAAAGCAAACAAACGCCCGTTATGCTGTCATTTTTACACAAACATGCATATATATATATATATATATATATATATATATATATATATATATATATATATATATATATATATATATATATATATATATATATATATATACATATATATGTATGTAGCGAGCTATATATATATATATATATATAGCTCGCTATATATATATATATATACATACATACATACATCGCTATATATATATACATACATATATATATGTATGTAGCGAGCTATATATATAGCTCGCTATATATATATATATACATACATACATGCATCGCTATATATATATATATATATAGCTCGCTATATATACAATATATATATATATATATATATATATATATATATATATATATATATATATATATATATATATATATAACTCTCATTTGTTTCAAATAAATTCATCTTGGTAGATTCACCATATTGTAAATGCAATTCCCTCACAGAATCAGTACACCATTATTTCTTGTCTTGTCCGCAGTACGCACAAAAAAGGGAAGAGCTTGAAGCATCGTTAAGACATTTAATAAATAATTACCATACGCTTAACTCAAAAGATAAATTAACTATTATACTTCATGGTCCTGGAAAAAACAGTAGCCTGTGTGTGGCTGTGGCTGCTTCGGTACAAAAGTATATCAGGGAAACCAAGCGCTTTGAGTCTTAAATATGAGATACTGTAAAGAAATATGATTTGTTAAAGGTAGGAAAGTGATGTGTGATGTGGGGTGTTTGTTGTCAATTATCATGGACCAGTGTGAATGATGTACCTCGACTTAAGCACGTAAGTGCTTTTGTACTAATTCATACATGCGTCTGGATGTTCAAATACATGTGATTGATTGATTGATTGATTGATATATATATATATATATATATATATATATATATATATATATATATATATATATATATATTAGGTTGTGTCATTTTGGGCACTTTTTTCGCAAAACATAGTGCTCCACTGATTTTATCGTGCCCCAGACACGTAGAAACCGTGTGACATTTTTTATTTCCCCCAAATATTAACACCCATGCGGCGCCGACCGCCGACACTTTGGCCTATCTCTCAGCATTAGCGACCTCAGCGCCCCTAGCGGCAATGTTTTGAACTAACACGCTCGCTATGCTTTGTGAGCTTACGATCATCATTAAATGCATTTTACCGAAATGACGCCTTGCTGTTGGCTTGTCTGGCACTCAGAATGTTGGTAAAAATGTGATGTTATGCATCTTAAAGCACGAAATAGTTCTGTGTTAATGTATATTGCATAGTACTACCCCAGATCCCCGTCCTGGTCTGACGGGATACGTGTGGGGGCGCTTACCCCCCCCCCCCCCCCCCCAACTTGAGAGCCGAGTGGGCGCCGCCCCCTCAACATTGATGCAACGATGAAGGATCTCTGCTCCCTTTTATGGACCTACATGTCTGTTTTTATATAAACATCAGCACAAGGTATTTCTCTTGCATGTGAATGGTTTCTGCTGATTCGGCATCGATTTAAGAACACCTGCTATTGTCATCCCACTTTGATTTTATCTGAACTTGATCATAACTTTGGTAGGTCAGATTTTATATACTGGACCATTTTGGTTCCGGATGGTATTTGATTTGGCGTGATGAGAACATTATGACGTACAACGGTGGTAAAGTCGTTGATTGATACAGGTTTACTCGCTCCGGTGGGAGGCAGTAGCGGCAGAACACCTTCAATTAAGTGGAGGGGGGGGGGGGACACTGCCGACTTTTGGTCCCAGTCTTTCCATGCAACGCCCATAGGGTTAATGTTAAAATGCCCAAATCAGAGGGGGCACGGTGCCCCGGTGCCCTCCCCGTTCCGCCGCCTATGGTGGGAGGGCGGCGTGTGGGACTCAGAAGGAGACTTATGGCTTATGTTGTGCCTTTGGTAGGACCCTCAGTATCACCGATGCAGGGCCTTCAGAGCCTCCAATTAGGGGCCTTTAGAGGCACTGGTGTGGGGTCCT